TATGTATGGTTTTAGCTATGGTTTAGCTAATATATGGTTTTAGTTATGGTTTAGCTTACGTATGATTTTAGCTATGGTTTAGGTAATGCATGATTTTAGCTATGGTTTTTCTGCTCTGTTTTAACATTTATGATTCATTCTTCAGCTGATTTCAGCCTCAGCGTTCACGTGACTGTTTTACAGGAAGTGCTGTTTTTCTCTCAGGTTAATCCTTCATGTCTTTAAGGTTGTAGTTTTTATTTTATCAAAGTATTTAATAAAATATTATTTAATAAACAGCTTTAATTCCTCAGAAGGATGAGGAGGAGGAGGAGGAGGAGGAGGTCAGCCGGGTGTTAAAGTCAGAGGCTAAAATAAAACCTGTCCTCTGGGTCTCATGTTTTAACACATCTTACTGCTAATGAGGCTGACAAGAGGGACGGAGACGCAGTGGGAGGTGAGGGGGGGAGGAGGAGGAGGGAGAGGAGGAGGAGGGAGAGGAGGAGGAGGGAGAGGAGGAGCAGGAGGAGGAGGGTTCACTTGGAGCCAAGAAGGAGGTTTTTCCTCCTACAGAAGACAAGCTGACGGCATGACGACAGTTTTCTGAGAGCGAGAGTCATCCTCCTCCTCCTCCTCAGTTTCCACGGTGACAGCATCCCCCCTCTTCCTCCTCCTCTTCCTCCTCCTGCTGCTGCTCTTCTCTCCTCCATCTCTGGGTCCGGCTGCTGTGGTCTCGTCGTGTCGTCAGGATGGGAGATAAAGGAACCAGGTGAGATTCCATCTTTGTGTCCGTCTGTTTCCTCCTCTGAAGGTCCATTACAGGGTTCTGTTGTGGTGGAACGTTACATAACGGGTCAGAACCTGGAGGGGAGTGACGTCTGCGTGCAGCAGCTCCACCAGAACCATTCCTGCCTTTTATTTTGACAGTCAGCAGACACAGGAAGCCATGGGAGCAAGAAGAGTTAAATTAGCTGGTTCTTCTGTGTGCGGATCAGAACTTTACGCTCCGGTTCTGAAAGAAACTAGGTTCTCCACAGAAAGACTGGGTCTGGTTCTGGGTCAGAATCTCGGTCCAAACACGAAGGTTTAGCTGCTGCTCCTCATGGCTGAT